AGGAAACAGAAGTTGCACACAGTTCTTAATGTTATAAACTCTAGCAAACCAGGCAGTTCAACAAAGATTAGATCTAATCTCTAACATTCTGCCTTATATTATTTATTTAATCTTTTAAAGACTTGTTAGGGAAAAGAAAAGTTTAGGATGCTCTTTTTAAAGTTACCAAGCTAACACATTTTTCTCTTTTACTATTTAAGTTCAGTGTCAGTTTATTTCAAATGTAAATTACTGTATCATTTTAATTTTGCAATCTTAATTGCACATTTATTCTTCAACTCCTAGAATATCATCATACAAAGCAGTGAAGGAGAGTTTTGCTTTAGATCATATCTTGAATACTTAACTCCTTTAAAAGTGAATACTTAGATATTATCAATAAATTTGAACAACATACCTTGTTCCTATCACAGTGTCTTTATACTCAGTAGATTTTGTGGTAACTGATGTGATCGTCTGTTATATTAGCTATGCACAAATTCAGGGATGCCAAAAAAAACACTGAAGAAGGCATTTGGACATTTATCTTTCAAGGTTGGAAACAAACAAAATGGCCAAAGCCAATTTTGTTATTTATCACTCAATTGAAATAGCTATTTTCAAACATTTCTCAAACCAAATCTTGTAAGGAGACCCAATATATAAAAGCAGTGCTGTGCTAGTTGAAGGAGGGAGAAGATGCTCGACCCTTTCCCCTTTGAGTCACCTTCTCAGAACCTGACATCTCTATCAAATACAGTTTTAAAATCAGTAAGCTACAGCAAAGAGCTTTTAAAGAGGGATTTGACACGTGGAGTGGATGAAAAGACAAGCTACAGACTGAAGGGAAATATTTGCAAACCATATAGTCAACAAGAAACAAACTAACACTTAATTAGAAAATGAGCAAAGTATCATGACCAGATGGTAAATAAATACATAAAATGATTCAGCATTATTAGCCATTAGGGAAAAACAGATTAAACCCACAGTGAGACATCACTGCGTATCTGTCAGAATAGCTAAAATAAAAAGTGGCAAATGCTGGTGATGATGCAAAGAAACTGGATTGCTCACACATTGTTTGTAGGAGTATAAAATGGTACAGCCAGTCTGGAAAAGAATATGGCAGTTTCTTATAAAACTAAACATGAGCTTGCCGTACAACAATTGCACTTTTGGACATTTCTCCCAGGGAAACTAAAACACAAAAACCTGTATCAATTAGTAATACTTCCACTGCATTGCTCTTTATCCCCATATATTTATCAGCCTCTGACGTATTGTATGTTTACTTGTTTATTGTCTAGCTCATTGCACTAGAATGTAGGATTTATTATGACCAGGGATTTCGGTTGCATTCATTGCTCTATTCTCAGCATCAAGAACAGTACCTGACATGAGTAAGTAGTAAGTGGATTAATTTATTAATCAATGGAAAAGAACTACAAAGCAGATTTTGGAAGAGATTCCCACCAAACTTACCAGATATCTCCATCTGAATCCATCCCCCTATGGAATCTGAGCAGCTCAGACAGTTTTGATTGGTCCAATTTCTAAGAACTACGATCTAAGAGAGGAATTGAATGCGAACGGACATGATAGAACAAGCCCTATTTACATTAAAGTGAACACCAGGAATTTTTTTTTTAACACTTATTGTGACTTGTAATTCCCATTATATAAGAGGTCTACATTAAGAGTCTTCAGAAGGGAGCTTATAATTTAGGTGGAGAAAGTAAAATTGTACAAATGATAGGACAAGATAGAGTTAAATCGGTATCATAAGAGAAATTCAGGCATCCTTGTGGAATCAAGGGAAGTTGGGTTTGGTATTAGGAAAGGCTTTATGAAAGGACTGGTATTAATTTTGGAACCTGATATTTATGTGGAACTTAAATTTTATGGATAAAATTTAGCAAGTGGAGATAAATCAGGAGAGTATTTCTACTGGAACGAACAAAGGAAAGATCAGGGGATCCGTGTATACGATCTTCTGTATGTATGTGTGTGTGTTTTAAACAGAAATAATGGGATAATGCTTCAGAGAATAGCAAGTAGTATGGTTTGGGATGGGAAAGAACTGGTAAATAAGGCTAGAAAGTTTGAGCCTAAACTGTAGGTATCCTTGAATACCGTACCTGGGGAGTTGGTACGTGTTGAGGTACGAAGGTGACAAATAACTTTAACCTAGGGTTGGTATGTTAAAAAGAATTTCGGGGGCGCCTGGATGGCGCAGTCGGTTAAGCGTCCGACTTCAACCAGGTCATGATCTCACGGTCCGTGAGTTCGAGCCCCGCGTCGGACTCTGGGCTGATGGCTCAGAGCCTGGAGCCTGTTTCCGATTCTGTGTCTCCCTCTCTCTCTGCCCCTCGCCCGTTCATGCTCTGTCTCTCTCTGTCCCAAAAATAAAATAAACGTTGAAAAAAAAAAAAATTTTAAAAATAAAAAAAAAAAAAAAAAAAGGAATTTCAGAGCTGTCCTCAGAACCTAGTAGAAAAGCGTGCATGATCAATTAGCAACTGATATTCCTGCCTCCAGAATGAATGTTATATCTCTTCCTCCCAGGGAATTTTGAGGAAAAAATATGAGTTCTGGTTTAGGGGAGAAAATGAGCCAAAACACTGAAGCTGTAGGACTGAGAAGCACCCCTGACAGTGTGACTCATCATTAGAACTTCAGTTCCCTGACATGACACTTTTGAGTTTCCACTTTGATTGAATTTATCTGAATTTATTTGGCACCTAATTTCATTCATTCATTCATTCATTCATTCACTCATGCACACATGTGTGCACACACACACCAAATATTATAAAAGGAGTCAAGGTTACACATCTAAGGTGAGAGTTTTTACAAATACACTCACAACTCTTTTTTCTAAAAATTACTTATTACTTTAGTTTTTTTAATCTGAAAGAAATTAATTTCTCTTGGAATATCTCTTGATCAGGCAGTAGAGTTCTAATTTATATACATTTGCTACATATTATAAAGCATAAGTGTTTAATGAAACTTTACAATGAAATCTATTGTATGTAGAAATTGAGACAGAAATAATTGTACTATATTCAGGGTTTCAGCCTTTAACAATATTGGCTTTTGTTTTAATATGTAATGCAGTTAAAAAATATTTAATTCCTGGTTAGTTTGATTTAGAGTTAGAGAAGTCTTTCTAAGAATATATTCTAAGAATATATATTCTCCCTCAATAACTTATGCCAGAGGCATGTTATTGAGGGAGAATAATTTTTCCCAGATTAGATGTTCGTACCTTACAGATGATTTTCATCTGATCTGTGATATTCTTTTGAATGTCCTTTGAGAGATCCTTTTGATCTCTACAAAGACAGTAGGTTTGTTTGGAATAGCTCAAGATGCTTTTTGTTTGTTTGTTTGTTTGTTTGTTTTAAGTATTTAGAGAGAGAGAGAGAAAGAGTTGGGGAGGGGCTGAGAGAGAGAGAGAGAGAGAGAGAAAATCCCCAAGCAGGCTCTTCACTATGAACCCGATATGGGGCTCGAACTCACAAAACATGAGATCATAACCTGAGCCAAAATCAAGGGACGTTTAACTGACTGAGCCACCTAGGTGCCCCGGTTTTTCCATATTTAAAGCTTAAATAACATTTAAAAAATAAATTCAGCTCTTGTGTAAAGCTAAGGATTCCATTTTTCCTCAGCCTAAGTGTCACAGAAAGAGCCTGAACCGGGAATTAAATAACATGGTGTGTGAGCTTTGGCAGATCACTTGATCTTAGCAGGCGTTAGTGTCTTCAACTGTAAAAGTCTGGTTGAAAACTAAGGTAACTTCAGCATTCTCTGAGATGACATAGATATCTTCTCCCTGTCTTTATTTATTTTCCTGGTTCATTTGTCCAGTTGCCTTACTAGCCCATTGTGGGTTACTTTTAGGAACTTTGATCAATTTGCCAAATACAGTCAAACTGTCTTTTCAACCCACTGACAGCAAAGCTTCCCAGGTAAAGCTTTCCTTTACACTTCTCGATTCCCTTTCACTGTGATAAAAAAAAAAAAAAAACCTACCTGCTTTTTTCTCTTTCTTTTACCCTCATTCCATGTAGACTATATACTTCTCTCTTAAAATGCTGTCATTGAAATTCAAAGCTCATTATCTTATAATGCAACTGTTAGTTTTCATATGCAGTATTTATTTATACTTATTTTTTCAGTGTTATTAAATAAATTAAAATCTTTTTAAGTTTTCATATTAGTAGAATAGGCATTTAAAAAATGTTTTTGATTATTTGATTTTGTGATGTATCATGACTCATGGGAAAACTGCATGTTGACTTTTTAGGGTTTTTTTATTAATTTTATGGAAAATTAATCTAATACATATATTTTAATTTTCAGGTCATCTGCAATATCAAATATGCATGTTGTCATAGTTGAAAGTGGCAGTTTAAATGTAGCTAGTTAAATGTGGTTGGAAAAAGCCTTGGGTTAGTAGTTAAGCATAAGATCATAATACTCTTGTTCTCTGAATTTAAGGAGAAAAATCAATTGTGACATTTTACATTTGTTTTCAATTTGCCTATTGGTAAAACATACCTTTTTACATCTATATGCGTATTGTTTTCATTTTCTCTTCTATTTTTAAGGGGAAGTTTATATTAGACATTTAAAGGTATGTTAATATAAACATTTTAGCAAAGTGTAATTATTAACGGGAAAAGACCATAGGAATAACATTAGTTTGCCTTTAAAAGATGTGTTGTTGTTATTGGCATCTTTAATAATATCCTCTTTTATCTTCCAGTGTTGAGATTTTCCAAATGTCTGGCCAACTCTTTCACTCTTTCTATACTTAGATGTTATGTAAAAGAGGAACAGAATAGCAAAATCCTGTTCAAGGATTTTGGTGTTGCACTGTGACTTGCTTTATGTTTTTTAACGTGTTGTTTAGACTTTGAAAAGCTTTATAAATAACCAAGACCACTTTTTCTTAAAATCATGACTTTCATATAATATCTTTTCTTCTTTGTTCTTTTTAAATCTAGGTGACTGTGGGGATCATGTTGTCATAATGAACACAAGGCACATTGCATTTTCTGGAAATAAATGGGAACAAAAAGTGTACTCCTCACATACTGGGTAAGATAACGCCATTGTCCAACAGACATATGAAAAAATGCTCAACATATCTAACCATCAGGGAAGTGCAAATCAAAACCACAATGAGGTATCACCTTAACATCTGTCAGTGTGGCCGCTAAGACAGTAAATAATAAGTGTTGGTAAGAATGTGGAGAAAAACGAACCTTCATGCACTGTTGGCAGGAATGTAAATTGGTATGGCCACTGTGGAAAACAGTGTGGAGGTTCCTCAAAAAATTAAAAATAGAAATACCATATGATCCAGTAGTTCCACTACTAGGTTATTACCCAAAGAAAACAAAAATACTAATTTGTAAAGATACATATACCTCTATGTTTATTGCGGCATTATTTATAATAGCCAGGATAGAGAAGCAACCCACGTGTCCATTGATACATGAATGGATAATGATGTACATGTGTGCATGCGCACTGGAATATTACTCAGCCATAAAAAGGATGCAGTTTGGCCATTTGCAACAACATGGATGGACCTAGAATATATAGCGCAAAGTGAAATGTGTCAGAGAAAGACAAATACCATATGCTTTCACTTATGTGTGGAATCTAAAAAAACAAATGAACACACAAAAAAGCAGAATCAGACCTATAAATACAGAGAACAGATTGATGGTTGCCAAAGAGGGTAAGAGTGGAAGGGAGGGTGAAAGGGAGTGGGAGATACAGGCTTTCAGTTATGGAATGAATAAGTCACAGGGATAAAAGGTACAGCATAGGGACTATACTCACTGGTGTTACAATAGCCTTGTATCATGACAGAAGGTAGCTACACTTGTGGTGAGCATAGCATAATAGACAGTTGTTAAATCACTAAGTTGCACACCTAAAACTAATGTAACATCAAGTATCAACTACTCAAAAAAAAAAAAAATGATACTGCCATTGTCAAAGAATATAGGCAGTTGAAATATATTACTTTAAAAATACTATTGGGGCGCCTGGTTGGCTCAGCCAGTTGAGCATCCAGCTTTGGCTCAGGTCATGATCTTGCACTTCGTGGGTTCGGGCGCCGCATCGGGCTCTGTGCTGACAGCTCGGAGCCTGGAGCCTGTTTCGGATTCTGTGTCTCCCTCTCTCTCTCTCTGCCCCTCCCTGGCTCTCACTGTCTCTCTCTCAAAAATAAATAAACATTAAAAAAAAAAAAATACTATTGATCTTACTATGGGTACCTGGCTGGCTCAGTTGAAAGAGCATGCAACTCTTGATCTTGGGGTTATGAGTTCAAGTTCCACAAAAAATGTATTAAATAAGTAACCATCCTTTAAAAAAAAAAACAAAAACAGAAAAGAATAATTGATCTTACTTAAAAGAAAAAGCTATTTTCAAAAATTGGCATTTAAGGAAATACTAACTTTGCACATGCTGCATATATAATTTACTCAACCAAAAATAACCCACAGAACTACACCAAATACTAGTTATTATTAACAGTATTTGTTTTTTCTAGAAGCTTTTCACATAACCTCTCTGATCTAGATTATTCTCATTTTTAAACCAATCTTCTCATTTATTTCTGTTTCCTGTAATTCATGTCACTGTTGTTTCTTGAACTATCTTAAACTTCTGAAAATACATGAGATGTTTAAGGAATGGTGAACAAAATCCCAAGTTTGGAAGATACCTAAAATCTCCACAACATACCTCTCAATGTCCAGGTCTCTCTGCCTGTGTTTGAATAATAGTGATCCCATGGCTTGTAAGGCAGCCCATTCATTCCATCTTTGAAATGGTTTAAATTTTAGAAAGATCTTTATGCTGTTGAATCATAATCTGTTTTTCTTTAGCTTTCATATTAGTCTTAGTTCTCCTCTTTGGACAGTGTAAAATAATCATATCTCTCCACATGACATCCTTCAGATCATTTTGAGATAGGAATCAATAAGAGCCCCTTGATTTGTCTTTTCCCTAAGCTAAACATCTGTAGTTACTTCAGAGTTCTTTATATGGTGTCCCTTTGACTATCCCCTTATATCTTGGTCACTCTCTAGTGTTTTTCTTAACTAAATACACTCAACTGGCTATGTTCTGATGGCTTCCTAGTATAATGGGAGTCGTCCATCTTTCAGTTATATAATCCTCTATTGGGTGGTACATGGAGTTCACTATCAGCCAAAACTCCCAAGTCTTTCTTAAACATGCTGCTGTTTAACCATGTTTTAACCCATGTTAACCCAACTACAATACCTTAAGTTAAATTTTACCTCCAGCCTTTTAAAATCTTCTGAGATCTTGGGGCGCCTGGGTGGCTCCGTCGGTTGAGCGTCCGACTTCGGCTCAGGTCACGATCTTACAATCCGTGAGTTCGAGCCCCGCGTCAGGCTCTGGGCTGATGGCTCAGAGCCTGGAGCCTGTTTCCGATTCTGTGTCTCCCTCTCTCTCTGCCCCTCCCCCGTTCATGCTCTGTCTCTCTCTGTCTCAAAAATAAATAAATGTCAAAAAAAAAATTTTTTTTTAAATCTTCTGAGATCTTGATTGCATCATGTAATGTGTTAAGCCCTCTGCTTCAGGTCATATACAAATTTAATTAAATACCTCCTATACTGTCATGCAAGATACGGTTAGAAATGTTGAACTTTCATTCTTGATTAAAATTGTTTATTTCCAATTGCACCTTCATCTTAGACAAGCAGACTTTAATGTCTCCATCTGTTTCTTTTCATCTCTTGCCTAAGTGGGTCTTAGGCAATGCTAGGAATAACTTTTTTTTTTAAAAGACTTTATTTTATTTATTTTTAATGTTTATTTTTGAGAGAGACAAAGAGAGCACGTACAAGCAGAGGAGGAGCAGAGAGAAAGGAAGACAGAGGATCCAAAGTGGGCTCTTTGCTGACAGCAGACAGTGGGACTTGAACTTGCAAACCATGAGATCCTGCCCTGAGTCAAAGTTGGACGCTTAACCAACTGAGCCACCCAAGTGACCCACTCAGAATAACATTTTTGCTTCCATTAGCCAGACTTTGCCCATTCTCCTTAAACTTATTCATGAAATTGTTATTTAACATAACCAAAATAAATTCACATCCAGCTTCAGTAGTTTCTGCTATTAGGAAATCTGTACAGATAAACCAAATTCTATAAAATTTAGAGGTAACGGGGGAAGAAATATGAAAAGTCAGGGTAACATAATGCGATAAAAGCATAAAGGGGGAAGTATTGGCACAAAATGCTGTAATAATTACTGTAGCAGTAATATCTGTGGAAAATAATAGCACAGCTAATAGCGAACAGCTAGTATAACATACCCTCTGCTGGTAGTGTCCCCTTCAGTAGAGCTGTCTTATCTAAGGTTGAAACTCTAAACTTGTACATTATCGGTACCCAATTACCACTACTGCTTCAGAATCCTTCATTTTAGCCAACATATTGCTATTTCTTGCCTTTCTGCCTTTGCGTGTGTTATTCTCCTTCACAGGAGTCTTTCTCAAGAACTCATATTTATCCATTAAAACCTGGCTCATTCAACCTCTTCTTGAATGCCTTCCCTATTGTCGCAACCCCGTATGGTAAATAACTGTTTTGTTTCTCAGTTTCTGTTGACTCTTCACTTACTTTGTTACTTCATTTCACTGGATGTACCACTTTTTTTATGCTCAGAACATTATTACATTATATATTCAAATTTTAACTTTCTAGTTATAAAAATTTTAATATATGATAATTTTAGGAAATGCAGAAAAGTTTAAAGAAGGAACTAAAAATCATTTTTCATCCTGTGGACTAAACATTTTAATACATATACAAGTTTACATCTTTTTTTCACTTTATATAAAATTATCAGAAAGCCTTTTTATGAATAGTTTGTCACTGTGTAGTAATACAGAATATGATTTGCATACATAATGTCCTTTTTTTTAATTAAAATTTTTAGTTTCATAAAGAGCTGAAAAACATCTTTATACATGAGGCTTTTTCAACATATAGGATAATTTATTTATTTTTTTATTTTATTTTTTTTATTTTTTTATTTTTTTATTTTTTTATTTTTTTATTTTTATTTTTTATTTATATATGAAATTTATTGTCAAATTGGTTTCCATACAACACCCAGTGCTCATCCCAAAAGGTGCCCTCCTCAATACCCATCACCCACCCTCTCCTCCCTCCCACCCCCCATCAACCCTCAGTTTGCTCTCAGTTCTCAACAGTCTCTTATGCTTTGGCTCTCTCCCACTCTAACCTCTTTTTTTTTTTT